AAAAATACTAATATATATATATGTACTACTGCATGCACAAAAGATAAGAACTACAAAAGAACAAAGCGAGGAAAGAACGTAAACAGACAAGGAACAGAGCGAAACAAAAGGGAGTAGCCCAAGCGACAGAAGTACGTACTGGAAAAAGAGGTTGTGGCAAAAAATCGTCACAGGGGGTAGAATGGTTGTAGCATAAGGGTGAGTTACTAAACAATATTTCATTTTGTATGATAAAGAATATTATATGCTTGTCCTCTTCATGATTATTGTTTGTTGGTCCTTTTGTGTAGATAGGCATGGGTAGGGAGAGATAGGTACCTACCCATACCTACGAATTTCGGCAGTGGTAGGTATGTGTAAGTACATGTAGGTACCTATCATACCTACTAATTCTGAGGTTGCAGCAACCCGAAATTATCCATGAGGTCGGAATCAGCGGCAGGAAGCTCTGATGTACCGTGAACGTTTATTTAACCGTTTAAAAAAGTGTTCATTAAAGAAACTTTTTGCTATTTTGTTCAGCATCTATTAAATATTCTCTTTCCAATTACAGTCACGACAATATTAGCTATAATTGCTATATTATCTGGTGAACGGATACATCTTATAACTGATCTATGTATCGAAGCAATTTTACTATGGATCGAATTTGTCCTTTTAGTCGTTTCAACATTGTGTATTTTCATTTTTCTGCTGTTACAGGAAGAAAAGGAAAGAGTTAAACTAAAATCGATATTTGTCAAGCCCACTAAAAGAGTTAAGCATCGGTTTTGGAAAATATTGTTTCGTTGTTGAGGAAATCAATGTTTTTGAAACAGGTAGCAAAAAACAAGGAAATGCATCCGTATGTTGCAGTTTTCAACTTCAAACGCCCATTTTTTGCAAAAGCAATGCCATGTTTTCACGGAAACTTTTCAATATCCTTCGCTCTGGTTAAACCTAATTTCGATTATTCTCCGTGATAACAGCGCGAAAAACGCAAAGAAATTATTTCCACAGGCTGGAAATTTAGAATGATCTCTGGTAAAGCTCGTCTTCGATACCAAACTAGAGTTTCATCCCCGTTGTAGTGTCTGCCCCTAGAAGGTACTGTTTCAATCATATCATGAACCTCTTATGGAAATCTTATAACCCAGGCACAAAAGAAATTACAGGAAAGAAGATAAAATTATAAGAATAATTATGAAAATATAATAAAAACCACAACAAAATAGCACTGTCGGGCCGAACTTAGAATTTTTAAGCATGCGTGAATTTTTAATTTATGTGTACTCGGTACCGAGAAATCATAACAATATAAATATTAGCTTGAGATTTACACTGCTTAGTCAGCAAAAGCATAACAGATGCAAGAAGAAAATCACGCAAAGTGGTCGGCCCGGGCCGGGTCAGAAAAGTTTAACGATTGGTCCGGCCGGGCCAGATAAATTCTACGTTTAGTCGAGCCGAGTCGCGCATGGTCCAAAAACTTTCAGCATCGGGCCGGGCCAAAATTTTCGGCCCGTGCCCGTGTTTTCGGCTCTCTGCTATAGAGGGGTACTAGTGTATTCCAGCCAGTCGCAGTCTGTCAAAAGAAAGATGATTTTACAGTTTCAAATTCAGTAAGATGTACTCTGATGCAGTGAGGCTATTGCGTTCTGATGACCCAGTGGAAGAAAAAGTAATCGAATTAGAAGAACTAAGTAATGAGTAATTATATCGTAAACCATAGAAATCAATTAAACGAAAGTAAAGGCACTATTCTTCAAATCTGGTAATTGTAACTTTTTAGATAAACCGCGATTTTCTGTTTGTTAATTAAAGTTTCTAGTAATAATTCTGGCAGGTACTCGCTACACAGATTCCAGTGGTTCAGTATGAGCAACGAAACCTGAATCGTAGATTGCTGAGCAGTAGTCAAGTTATAGGTAGATCAAAAAGAAGCAACTCTCTAAAAGTCGATTTTTGTTTGTATTCTTCTTGAACAGCGTTGTGATTAAAAACAATGGTTAACTGTGCATCTCACACTCAAAATGTGATTTTTCAGAGAAAGTTTGTTCGTCTAAAACAGTGCTCGAAAGAAATAGTTTTGGCATCTTTTACTCATCTTGAATTGTACTCAAAGCTCTTTGTGCTTTTGATGAATATACCTCTTAGATTACTTTATTACTGATATAACTCGATAGAGCTTGAAATTCTGCATCTTGTACTTCTTTTCATTTCGCCACCATTAGCCCTGTACGTGGTCTGATTCAGATCTGATTTTTATTTCCTTTTCTGCTAGTCAATTTCTTGTGAAAATAACATATTAAAAAGTCTAATATAAAATTAAGCACGATTAAATTGAGCGAAGGTGTACAGCGTTTGAATAGGTACAGCGCTTACAGGAGGTATCCTTAGAAAATGAAGTTTGAGATTTTAAAATTTAATTTAAAAATCAAGGTATAACGTTTGATTGAAATTTTCTTTTTCAAAATGATCCAAAAAGAGCTCTAAACATTATCATCAAACCAAAGTTTTTCACCCTATAGGTTTCGTCAAAATTAATTGCTTACTGCTTTTCGATAATGAACTCTTCTGCAGCTCTCTAGAAATTCTACATGTGGTGGAATTAGCATTTTTTTTGGAAAGAGCACGTCTTCAAATACTTAAGCTTCGAGGCATCTGGACATGACCAGTCCCTTATCCCAGTTGGTTAAGCCGTTTCTGTTTTATCATGCAACACACCTATCAAAAAAGCATGTAACTGCTAATGGATGAAAACATGCTTTTACTAACCGGATATTCTGGCTCGTATGCGGCACAGCCTCGACACATATCTAAGCCGACTCACCAACTGATGATATACTTTCATTTGATGTACAAGAAGCCGAACCTTTTTAGATATAAAGTGCTTCTAATATATCGAAGAATGCTTTACTTAATGACATAAAATTTTTTGTTACAAGTGTACATTACTGTTTTTTCAAAAACCCTTGACCTTGTAGGTGAAATCTAGTTTTCTTGGTCTAAGAGCACAAAACTGAATGGCATATTTTGGTGGAATCAGCGCATTAAACTGCATGAAATAATGTATGACGAAAACATTTTCATAAAAAGTTTGAATAAGGGTGTCCTCGGGGATTTTTGTTGAAAAAAGAACTTTGCTCTGAAGTAATTATTTGAGTGCTAGTCATTTGTATCCAATTGCTCCAAAAAGTTTTCCCGAGTTTGATTATTCTTTTCAATAATTTTGAGTATTATTGAATTACTGACATAAATGAGATCGTCACATAAACGATTTAAATAATTGTACATTTGATTTTCATTCGCAACAGCTGACCAAGCACACATACCTGCTTGTAAAACTACACCAGCTGCAAGTAAACCATAAGTCAAAGTACGTGTTGTAGCTGAACCAATGGGTGCGATAATTCCCGCTGCATCGTCAATAAGTGTTGCTCCAAAACTACCAGCACCTACTGCGCCCTTTACAGCAATTGATGATACAGTTGTTACTTTTGTTTCAGTATTACCTAGATTCATGGGAAATGTTTCTTTAAATGCAGACGTTTTTAATTCACTGTTGTCTACATTAGCATTAAAAGTTTGTAAAAATTCTTTAAACGTATCCTCTTGTCCCGTTCTCCAATTCGAAAAACGTGAACGATCGTTAACACCAAATGCTTGACGAATTGATTCACGACCTAAATAACGTGATAATAACTCAAGAAATGGACATAATGCCATAAGTCCAGCTTGAATTTTATACTTTAATATCGAAACAACATAACCACGACGAAAGCATGTATTAATAACACGAGCTATTGTATAATGAGCTAATTTTTGTAAACGTTTTGTATGAAAATCTAATGGTAAATCACTCAAATAATCAATTAATTTATCAATATCAAATTTTGCAAATGATAAACTGGTCATATATCGATTACGACTATTCAATTTGTAACTAGAAAATGTAAGATATACTTGTGTTGTGGATATTTCATTTCCATGTATATCACATTTAACCATAGACCTTATTCGATTAATTATCTTTGATATATTTCGTTCTAATCGTTGTTGAGGTCCAATAAATGTATCAAAATCTTGTTTAATATCTTGTTCGAATAAATTTAGAAATAATTCATCGACTTTATTTCGTACAAGTAAACATTGGCGTTTTAAAATATTTTCAATATAATTTTTCCATTGTAAATGATTATCTGTAAATGTTGTTTCAGAAACAATGATATAAACATCACAATCAGCCTTTCGTATTTCATCAAAATAATTTCCCGCTTTCAGTTGTGTATCATAGTCGGTTGAACCTTGAATATCAACATATATAACTTTCTTACCATTTGAATATTGATGTTCAAACTCTAATGGACAATATGTACTTTGACCAAGACGAATGGGTGAAAAGAGTCTATTTGGTGCGGTTGCTTTTACTGTTGTTGTTATTTGATTCCCATTATTATATGAGTCATTATCGTTTGTAATTTGTCTTGAGCGATTTAATAATGAACTTTTACCTGAATTTATTTGTCCAATAATACCGATCCTTGGTGGTATACTAGGTACAATTATTTGATTAAGGTCCTTTTCAATTTCTTTGAAAAGATCAATTACTTTTGGTTTAAATTCGTCCCTCATCCCTATTGTATCTTCCCATGTAATCAATTTTCCATTTAAATGTGGAAAATATTGTACGAATTCAATTTGCTTAATTAAATATAATAATGATTCACATATTTCAATGAATTTTCTACATTGTTGTTGATCTTTTTCTTTACCGGTTAATTCCAATACATAGGTTTTTAATGAATCGGTTATTTTTTCATCATTCTCATCACTATCATCTTCATTTTTAAAAATATCAACGACATCTTGTTCAATTTTTCTTAATGTATCGACAAATGCTTGTGCATTTGAAATTTGTAATTGAATTAATTTAGAAATAGTATTAGAATGATACATGCTTTTTGTATTTATTGTTTCAATCAATGATTGTATATGAATTATTCGACATGAAATATCATCTAATAATGCTTCTGGTGTATTACACATTAATAATGTTTCAACCCCATATTTACTTCTAAACTCTTGCCATAACAATTTTGTCAGCAACTCATTTTGTTGTGGACATCGTTCTGATTCTTGTCCACAATACATACAGCGAAATAACTTGTCACCATTATACTTGGTTATTGTTTGCACACATTTATTACAGTATTGATAATCACATCCAATTTTCGTACATTCACATAATAATTGATCATCTGTAACTCCAAATGGACCGAGACACATACAGCACGAATCCCATATCTAGAAAAGAATTTTGAAACAGCATTAAGAGAAGGGGGGCGCAACTACGCCCGTTTTTTTCCATAACTTTGTAGAGCGCATCAAGCTGTATTTACCCTGAAGTGTTTTCGATGAACAGACTTGTAGTTACTAAGAAAAGTGTTTTTAACAGATTTTATTCAATTATGATCCTCTCTTTAAAAAATTTATAAAAAATTCAAAATTAAAGCTGGAATTGCTACGCAGTTTGACAGCGCACATTAAGTGATATATACCACAAGTTATAATGAAAATTGAACCAAATGTGTCAAGAAGATTAACAATTTTCATTCTAGTGCAGTTTGAGCAAGGCGAAAGCAGCAGATTTTGCGACTTTTGTAAACTAGGCTCCGTTTCACAGGCAATCAATTTTTTTCGAATTTTCTTGTACTCCTGGAGACTCCTTGGTATTCTTCGTGGCTTCGCTGAGTCTGAAGAATTTTCCGGACTGTTGTTGAATTTTCCCGTGTTTTTTCCGCTTAGCCCCATTTTCAGTCATTTTTACAGATTTTCGGGGTTTCATCGGATTTTAATCTCTTTTTCCGATTTTTTCTTGTACTCACAGGGATTCCTCCAGTTTCTCGAACTTTGGGAAGTTTGTGTAGGATTCTCCAAGCTTCTGTAGGTCCGAGAGCCAAGTGAAAAAAGTGCTCTGCTTAGGGTATGAAGAGGATTATCTTGAACAACTTTGCCGGCAAAAAGTTTTCTTCAAAATGCTTCGTTGTTTTTGAAATGCATGCATAAGTTCGCGTACGAGGTAATGAAAGAATCGAATTTCCATGCAAGAGCAACATCATCGGATATGGGTTTTCACTGGATTTTTGAATTTTTTCGAAAAAAAACAGCATTGCACGAGACTCAGAGTGATGGATAACCCATGTTTCCATTCATTTTCGAGATTACCAGACCTAAGGAAATATCAATCCTGAAGCTTCGAGAAAATCCGATGCCGCGCCTAAACCATGAAACATTTAGAGATCGCTTAATTCCCATTTTGTAGAGGACATTTTAGACTATCATATCTATATGGGAAATACAGGGGTCACTCTGGTAGATCTTAGAATCACGACCTATTCTTTCAAAGGCTAATAAGGTATGCCATCTCCAGGTGGTGTTTTCTGAGATATTTTTATGTTATTTAATTAGTAACCAATTATCTCTTCTATACAATACTGAAAACCGCGAGTCTTCGAAGTGCATTGTTCAAAAGTTATTAAAGAAATAGCCATCGGCATTATCTTTTAGTAATATATGAGCTGTTAATTCATATAAAAGCCCATGTATGAAAACATCTTGAAAAAAACGCACATCCATGACAAATTAAAAAACAATTGTACTGCTTGAGTAGCTGATTCGAATGCTATATTATTTGTTAAATTTGAGCAAACGAAGTTGAGGAAAAAGATAATGCAAACGACCAGACTACACTGAACTGGCATCGGTTTTTGAGAAAAAAATTCATAATTTCACTAATATTCATAACCGCCGAATTTCTTGAAGATACATGGTATTCAACGTACTCTATAAACTGGCATAATTCGAGGCCAGATTTGGGGATGGTTACCTCCCCGTCTCCCTTAACAAGTATTGTTCAAATTATCTTCGAGGTCCCTTGGAGTAATCTGTGAATTCTTTTAACTAACGTACCCGTTTAACCGAAATTTCAAACCACTGTTGATTATTTATTGGTATGACATTCAAATTATTTAATGATAATTCTTCCTTGTTTTCATTTCTATATGTCAATATTATTTTAGAATCAGTATTTTTAATATTCTTTCTAATAAAATAAGCACTATACTTTATATAAATTTCATCATATAATTGTTCGATTGTTGTACATTTAGAAACAAATTGTTCTTTATGACCCAAACAGTTTGTTTTTATTTTATACATATTACTGTGCTCTTAAATGGATTTTCTCTTTTTGAATCACAATAAATAAGAGAAGGATGAATTAAATATAAAAAGTTAAAATGAGATTGGACACATTTGTCGTGGTTTCTCTTTATTTTGTCTCTTCTCTTTTATTTTGTCATGTATGTGTCTGTAAAAGTTATTGAGGAACCAAAGAGGGAAAAAAAAGAGAAAGAAACAAGAAAAACGTTTTTCTCTTTCGATATGAAAATAATTCCGTTCTTGTTTCTTTCTCTTTTTTTCCCTCTTTGCGTCTAAGTTGCATTGGCTTTTTTCCCCTATTGCGCACATACATAGTGAAAGTTTTTAACAAAAAAATATTTTTACAACATATTGTTTTGAAGTGTTTTTATTTTATGACCTTTCAATTCTGTGTAGGCATTTAGCAAATAAGGCAAACTTGGCAAAATCAGCAAAATTTTCTTTTTTCTACTTTTAAAATTCCAAAACTATTCTGGTTCTCCATCTGGAACTATGAAAAGCTAATTTTGGCATCTTTACAAACAAAATTGCTCTCAAAATTTGCCGCAGCTAAAAAATACACTGCTGGGAAATAGCAGTTAAAACTAATTATTCTGACCATCAAAAAATCCTAGGCACTAGTTTCTGCATTTTTTCAACAGACCTTGCTCCCTCCATGAATAAGGCTCCTACTGCAAAATATTTTGTAAAAGAAACATCTTGTATAATATGATTCGTTTGATATATAAAAAGCTGAAAACGCTAATACAATATGAATTTGAATTTCTTTCGAACTAATCGTAAACAAGTAAAATCATTGGTCTTTTAAACAGAAATCTTCCGCCAAAATGTGTTTTAAATGTTATGTCTTGATTACAAGGTGTCTGTGTGTATGACTAAAATTTCTAAAAACACTTCGTGACAGACTTTCATCACCAATAAGCAATTTAAAGATTTTTTTTATTTCATTTGCTGCCATATA